TCTCAGACTTTTGGGCATAACCACCCTAAACGGGTCTATGGACTCTTCGTCAGTGGCTATATACTTCAGCAGGAGCCCGTCATGGTCCAGCAAAATGAATCTGCCGGGGACTCAGCGACACACGCTGTTTCAGCCCCCTAATCGCGCCCGCCGCAGAACAAGCAGCGTAACGGCGCGCCTCTCAAGACGGTTTAACAGCGCCCGCCGCAAAGCAAGCAGCGTATACGGCGCTCCGTCCCTCCGAGACTCGAAACGGATCACTCTGCTGAGCCTTCAGTAGCTCTTCGCTGCCGAAAGCAACTCCCATTCTCCCAAATGGGGGAGTCTGGTATCGCGCCCACTCAGGACCGCAGCAACCGCCGCGTGCACGGCGTCACGGGTTCGCTCTCGGCACGGTGGCCTTCGGAAAGTTCCCCCCGCTCGGCCGCTACGCAGTGCACAGCTTACCTAGATAGCAGCCAAGGTCGTCCTCATGGGGACTCCCCCTTTTCGCCGCTGTTTCGCCCCCGACGCTTGCCAGTGCTAAGGCACCGCGAGCGGCCGTCGCACCGGAATCCAGGTTCTCGGCAGCCAACAGGGGGCACGAGATAGCGCGTCAGCTACCACGTAGGAGTGTATTCACCACAAAATGGGGTGACGACACTGCCGAGCGCTGAAGGGCGCCCGTCGATAGAGGCAGTGGCCTCTTTGTGCAACGCGGCATGCCATGGAGCAGACATGTTGCGACGAGCCCGAATCGCGCAGGCGAACTGGCTCGCTAAGACTAACCAAAGGCTTAATGAGCCTTTGATACCGCATTGGGTACCAGGCTGCTAGGTTGCATAGCAGCCAGCGGGCAAAATTCGGCAACGGCTGAGGCCACGTTGCCGATCTGCGCCCCGGAAGCTCTACTGAGAGCCGTTTCGGAGCGCTGTGACATGGAACTGCCATGCATTCCAAAGGGAGGGAGCAGTAGCAGTCCAATTTGCCCTTGTGCACTGTTCGGGTTGGGCTATGGCCCCGGACCCAAAACACGCTACCTCTCCAGCGGGAGCTGATACGTAGCGCCTCGTGTCATGCCGACTGGGGCCTGTGACAAGTGAGGGTGCACGATTGTGATGCTCAAGGGGGCACTGGCCCTGTTCTCGAGCAATGCGGTATCTGCTAAAAGCGTCAGCGGACAGAACTTACGCGGAGCAGACATAACGCGGGCAAACGCGGCGAGCCTGATTCGCAAAGGCGGGCCGACTCGGCTAAGACTAATCAAAGGCTTAATGAGCTTTTGATACCGCATTGGGCGCCAGTATGGTGACCCCGCTACTAACTGCAGCGGATGATCACCGCGAATTCACTTGCCTCGCAGCCCTTGGACACAAGGGCGCTGATGAGGCACTTGTGCTAGTGCCAAATATTTTTACATGTTTTTATTATCAAAACCTTTGTCACCCTTTTTACAATGCATATCATGCCACTGTCATGATCTTAATACTTATGTTTTTACCCGCATTATCGCGAGTAATTTTAAGGCCCCTATACAGCCACGCAACATATCATTGTCCCCATCTCTACTCATCGAAATGGCGCTTTTTGGCCATCAATTTGCCCTTGCGCCACAAAGCACCACACATCATCATTTGTTTCGTATATGAGCAACCAATCTATCTTGGAGGGCGTCTTGCAAGAAGTCACCGTAGTTGCACTTTCTGCCTAAGTGTTTGAGTTCCACGATGAACCCTTCGACACTTTCCCATTCCTTGTGTACGTGTCGGTTGAACTTGAACCGTTCCGCTATTACTGAACTTCTGGGGCTGTAGTGCTCCTTCAGGACGCGCTTTACTTTTTCATACGACTTTTGCCCCGGGGCCTCTGGCACTACAAGACTTCTTAGCACTTGATAAGCCTCTGGACCTATTACTGTCAAAAAGATGGGAAGGTGCTTGGTCTCGGCTGATCATTAGCCATTAGGAAATGCTCAAAACGCTCTAAGTACGACTCGAAGTTTTGCGTCTTTGGGTCGAACTCCGCTATTTTATGCAGTGGCCGCATTTCGTGAAAATTGGAGATGCTATACTTATTGGTTCGGCGTTTCCTAGCTTTCACTGGCTTCTCTCGACGTCTCGTAGCCGTTGCTCAGACAAGTACTTCTGCAAGGCGTTGGTTAGGCGGTGCCGTATACTCCAGGAGCACGTACTTGGGTGTTCATCAGACGAATGGGTGGCTCGCTTGCTTCCGTTCTGTCCGAACGGTCGCCCGACTGCTGCCTACAGGGGTACGTAGGACCCTCGTTGTCATTTGTAATAATGTTATCAGTCAGCCCAGCAGGAATAGAATGCCTTTAGTCAGCGCCGCTGTGAATATATATATACAGACATGTGACGTCACATCATTTGCATACTGATTGTCATCCAGATATACACGTGGCGCGACATGCTGCACTATCGCATCGTTGATTGGGCTGATTGCACCGCGCTTGCGAGTGCACTGGTAAGTTCGATGCACGAACTGCAGGTGTACCGCACAGGCCAAGTGCTTTTTAAGAAGACAGATAGCCGACGACACCAAAATGAGAATTCGAAGTGATTCAGCGATCTAGTTGCAATGTTTGAGTTCCCTTCCTTGACGTGCACAGTGGCACGCGAGCCTGAAAATTATGGCCTTCGAAATGTGCAACCTCGTGACGTTTTTTTAGTGTTCTCAGTTTCGAAATGGATATCGCGGAGGCTACACTTTTATCTCTCTTTTCGCTTCAAAGCAGCTGAAAGCGGCGGCTGCCAGCAACAAAGCCACAAGTGACATCGATATCGCCAATATGTCAACCGATGACGACGGTGGGAACTCGGCCTCAACGGCGTTTTTTGTGCCTTGTGGAGTTGTGTAATTCTCGCCTCGTTCCAGATAAATTATAATTCTGGAATTTACCTGAATGTCATGCCCACGTAGCGATAAAAATAGTGACTGGTGCTTGAAGTGACATCAAGCAAAGCTCAGTTGTAAATCTTTCCTTGCGGGCCTGGTCACGACTTGGGTTGCGTCATAATCGTTGACAACGGCATATGGTGCCTCAGTGAATCCTGCCTTTTATCAGCATTTCTGGGCACCATCTCAGACAGTGAGTGACTTCATCGGAGCTGATGATGACGCAGCTGTTTCTGACTGCATGGATGCTGAGATCATGGCTGCCGTTACCAGTGCTGCTGCCACCGCTAACCAACATTTTGCTGCGCTACAAAGCTTGCATTGACGTTGTGCGTCAATGAATGCTGTTGTGGTCGAAGGTGCTCAATTTTCTTATTTGAAAAGCTTCAGTGGTACTGAGGACGACTTGAACTCGACGGCATGCAAGAAGCAAGACAAGTTTATTGATTATGTTCACGTGAAATCAAGTGTGATACCTTATTTACTCGCGTAATCCTCGCACTCGCATGATTCTCGCACCCCCTACATCGCCCAAGAAAAATACGATTTTTTCCTTGAGTAATTATCGCACCCCCAAAAACTGCCGCAATAAAGTCGTCTGCTCAATCCAGCCACTGATGATGATAGCGGGCGCAATCTGGCACCATCTCTTAAGCATAAAGCGTACTATTGCACGGAGATTCAATCCAATCCAAGCCAAGCGCAAGTGGCCAGTGCGCGTTGCGGTGTGTTTTGTTCGTTGTGTCGGTAATCTTGGCACGTTATGAGGCGATACTAAAGCTACACGGCTGCTTCAAGTTGCAAGTGATGGATCATGCACTAAACAACAGCAACAGGGCCGCCGGTAGGCCCTTCGGAGCCTACGAGTTTTGTGTTCGCTACTGGTGACGGCAGCTGAAAGCGACCAAGACGCGTTGGGTCTGCCGTGTGCCTAAAACTGAGATAGATGGTAAACTTTATTTCTTCAGAAGGAAACTGCAAACGATTCTGTTAAATAGCTATCAGCCCAATACTGACGTTCTACGCTTACCTTTTGAGGGCTTCTGTTCAGCGACGAACACTACTGCTACGGCCGCAACGCCCACAAGCTTTGCGTGTGGTATTCTAATCCTCGACTATTTCCTTCCACTTTTTGTGTCTCAAATAAATCTTGTCTTGTGTTGAACCTCTGCTTTTATTGTTGAGGTAGGCTCTAACTAGTACTTCTTAAAGCTTGCTGTAAGTTGCTGGTGTAAGAATCCGGATTTGCGGCAACTTCAGTGTCTTTTTCGCTCTCTACGTTTTCGTGGAAAGTTTTCCCCGCGCAATTCTCGCACCCCCCAACTTTGCATCTGTTTTCCGGCAAAAAAAGTGCGAGGATTATGCGAGTAAATACGGCAACTTGCAGTTCACACCTTGTTCTTCATTATACTGTTAGTGAATCATTATGTTTGTGCTTGTAACCATATTTTGGGCCTGAAATGCCTTAAGCCTTAAATACGCATATTTTGTATTTAGAATCATTAATATATCGAACTATTTTGCGATCCCCATCAAGTTTGATATATCCGGGATTGACTGTATGTAGTAATCGAATGTCTGTTGTAAGCCGATTCATTTAATGAGGTTATACTGTAGACAAGAAATGTTGAAAGCACTTTCAACAATTCTGATATTTCAAGTAGCCAGAGCTAAGTCTCGCCACTGCATAGAAGCCGGTTCTCTAGAAAATGCTGCAGTCATGTCTCTGCACACTTATATCATGCTCACTCTTGTGTTTAAAGACACTGGAAATCATCAATGGCCACTGCAAGATGACATCATGGGTGAGTAGTTAATTCAGTTATGGACAGGTCAGACTATAGCAGAATTTCAGGAGAAGTTTGAAAAGGGGAAAAATTTTTGTTCACGAGGTGCCACTGGAGTTGACGTTTCGACAAGCAGTCTTGTCTTATTCAGGGATGCCACCTTGAAGGCGCAAGCGTGAAGAAGAGAAAACTGCTGGTTAAAATGTTGGCTCTAAAATTTTTTTACGTCGAGCTATAGTTGTCGCAAGATTTCACCTAAAGACTCGAAATATAGCCCTTGTTGATAGGTGTAACGATTTGGCTGTTACCCTATTACAGGCAACCCTCCTCTGGAAAGCCATGCTGGTGTGGCAGTCAAGGTGACCGATGAAGCCATGCCCATCTTTGGCCAGCATTTCTACACTGCTTCTGTGGCTGAAAATACGATGCCTGGAACAGCACTGCTGACTGTGGAAGCCAAAGGGGCCCATCCACTTGTATTCACTTTGACCAGTGACCACTTCGCCATTGATCGGGCCACAGGTAAGTCTGAGCGCATGTTTATGAGCTGCAGACCAAGGCTGCCTCAGCTGGACAGCCTTCAGAACAGACGGCATAATCTACTTGTATACACTGATGCATCTGTAGCTAGCAGTGTTAATTTTATGGCTGTCGGGTTATGGAAGATATCTTAGGTAGTTTTCACAACTGCTTATAAAACATGTGAGAAGGACAGATACAGTAGAATAGCAAACCCAGGTATAAGGACTAGAGCTGTGAGAAAAGCAAAATTTTTGGTGCAAATGGAATTTGAACATTGCAGTGTGAGTGCAAATTCAGTGATTCCACTCCTGTGCCAACTGTGCCAAAGTGTGCCAAATCACATTTACTGCACCATACTGATAGTATCAACGGAAATTGTGCCAAAGGGTGCCCAAGTGTAAGATTCGGAGGCGTCTATCACCAGCGATAGCCATGCTGGTGCATCAAAACATGTGCAGCCTAATTGTTCTCAGGGCCACCAAAGTCACAATCACGTACCTAAAACTATTCTGTTGAATAAAATAAACAGCTGAATAAATAAACACCTGAATAAAAAGCATTAATTAAACCCCCAGCTCTTCAACATCGATAATCTCCATGTTAGAACAAGCATTACGTTCTCAAGTCAGTATGCGCTTGCAACTGTAGCAGAGCTTGAAAGGTAGCTTTGCTATTGGAAGTGTGATGGGGTGAAATATGTTGACAATCTGAAGGGCCCACTGCCAGTTGGACTTTGACTGTGCTATTTATCCTGGGGAAGTTGTAATAGGTAAATTCCAGTGCTAATTGAATTGAATAGCAAACACTATTTGAAGATTATTCATACTTCGGATATTTGCACATACTTAATAAGGACCTATCTGTTATAATGACCACATTTTAGGGCACCTACGATTTTTTTGTGTCCCATTGAAACTGCATCCACATGCAGCGAACATTTTTCAAAGCCCCCTACTTTTACAATAACCACTTCAGACATGGTCTTGGTAAAAATATGGTGCATACGAAGCGATAAAGAAAGGTATAAAAAGTATATTAAAGCTTCAGAGAGATGCACGTTCGTGTTTGCCTTGCTCCAGTTTTTTGCAACTAAGATATCCGTGATCTGTGAGCACGACACACGGATTTTGAGTGCTGTGAGTGAGGTCACTTACTTTCCAGGTATTTTGTTATTGGCTGAATTGCAACGAGAAAAATAAAAAAGAAATAGAGGCAGCATAAAGCTTTGCAGTCAACTTTGATACAGCCATCTTTCCTGATGCTTTTCTTGTCAGCTACGACCGCCCACAATTAACTGAACTACCGTATTTACTCGCATAATCTTCGCACTTTTTTTTACGGCAAACTGATACAAAGATGGGGGGTGTGGGAATCACGAGGGGAAAACTTTCCACGAAAACGTACAGAGCGAAAAATAAAACGAAGTGGCCGCACGTTGGGATTCTCACGCTAGAACAATAAAAGCACAGGTTCAACACAAGGCAAGATTTATTTGAGACACGAAAGGTGCAATGAAATATTTGAGAATTAGAATACCGTACGCAAAGAACGAGCAAACGACATTATTGCGGCAATTTTTGGGGGTGCAATAATTAGTCGAGGAAACCAAGAAATCCTATTTTTGTCGGGCGATGTTGGGGGTGCGAGAATTATGTGAGTGCGAGGATTAGGCGAGTAAATGAGGAGCCATATAAATGCAGGAAGCGATGCCCTGACAATTTTTCATTGCCTAATCTCATTGACATCTCATTGTTCCATAAAAGGTGTTCCGTCTTTCCAGTAATGGCCGAGACTGGTCAATCAATCACTATGACTTTCGAGCGATTGCACCAATGCCTTCACAGAGAAGCATCAAAAAAGAGCAAAGACGAGGTAGGGGTCAGCAATGAATGTACCATTATAATTCATCACTGACTTTAGCCAGTTACACTCAAATCTCATTATAACGAAGTTGAAGGGAGCTGCAATTTTTTCATTATATCCATTATAACAGTTTGCGACAATGTATGCTCAGATGGGCACTCACCCATATGCATGAAAAGATGGAAAGTGCCTCACAGCCCAATGTACTGCTACGCCACCATGAACCATGCATGCAATAGAAAATAAATAGTTAACAAATATTTTACTTGTTCAGTGCGCACACTGGCTATTTTATTGCCTGCTAGACCCATGTTCATGATGCTTTCTTTCTTTGGACATCGCAAGCGAAGGACTTCTTTTTCGGCAGTGGCGATTGCGCTCATGCAATTTGTGTCATCTTCATGGGTGCCGAAGAAACAACCTAGGAGATCGGCCACATTGAATGCTGGCGACGACATTGCTACATCGAACCTATCGGCATGAGCATCCTTGTCGGTACTTGCGTCGGTTTTCCCTGCGACATTTGCGATGATATTGTTTTTAAGCTCTTCTGTAGTGGCCGCGTCGACATCAACGTTGACATAACTGCAGAATGAGTCATCTGCTGCAACAATACCGGCGTCATCGGGTGCCTTCCATGACGCTTCCACTTCGTTCACACCAGTCCCATCACATTTGGCACTAGTGAAGTCGCATAAGGCCACTTCGCACAAGGCACGTCAAAAACAGTTGCCTATTGTGCTATCTGAAGCACTTGTCCAAGCGGCTTGCAGCATTTCAATAGCCATGTACAAGTTGACTTTAGTTTCTCGCTGGAAGTTCATGTTCAGAAGCCTGCGATCAACCAAATATTTGCAGTAGCCTGCTTTAAAAGACACAGTTACAGATGACGTTTGATTTCTTGAACACCCGAAATTCCGGACATGCCTGATTTACTGGACTCATCTGTGGCACCGTCAAGTTCCCCATAATGTCAATGTATTAAAAAGTCCAAAATACAGACGTTTATAGCTTTTGCCATCTGATTTTTCAGACCTTTTACCGCTAACCACAGACTTGAAGTCACTATTGATGCGGCCATTTTGATTTGTTTTTGGATCCTTCAACCCACCGCGTCACGCCTGCCGTACCCTCGAAATTAATAATGCCGCAATCTAGCGTACCCCAACTCATTGCGAGCCGTAGTTTAGGCTGCATCATAGCCGCATGGAGCTGTGCAGCCTGTGCTCTGACAGTGGGAAAAGCTTCGCTGGCTATGCTGTCGATCTATGGTCGGCTGTCGGCACGCTTGAAGAATTGTGGAAGGTAGTTATGCAAGAGACCTTCCAGAATTGTTTTCGTTATGCGAGCATCGTACTGAATGCTGCCCGAAATGCGTGTGCGACGAACTTCCACCCGTGGACGTTGCCTTTTTCGATCTGCAAATTGGTGGTGTTTCTATTCCAGCCGGGATAACCCTTGAGGGCTACACCGAAGCTGACAAAACTCGAGCTGTGTGAGGAATCAACCTATGACAAAATCATTCGTCAAGTTACGGAGGATTCTGGCGACTCTGACACCGAGATCGAAGAGGCAGTGTCTACACAGCCAAAGAGCTCAGAGTTGGCGCAAGCACTGCCGCAGTCATCTGTGTACAGCGACAGCATGACGTTACCTGAAATTGAGGCCGGTGCTGTGCAAACGAAACGCTGTGCAAACGCTGTGCAAACGAAAATAAGTGGACTTTTTTCCCCCGCTTAAGTGTTGATAAATGCGATAGCACTGGCCACATCAGATTTTTTGCTTTTCTTTCTTTTCGATCTTCTCAGAGCCACCTAAACGATACATTTGTTAAATTACAATGAAAACCTTGTACTCCTTTTGCGACCCTCTCTGTCAGCGAAAAATCGCTCGCATTCATCTTTCTGGACTGCCATATTTTCTGGATGTTTTCACGGTTCCTCGAGGGTCCAGGAAATTGGACGTCGACTGTATCTCTTGATCAAGCAGCTGGATTAAGGAAGTACAGTTGGGTGGCAAGAACAAAAGTGCAGTATTGCAAAATGTAACAGTTGTGTGGTGAGCCGTTAAATTTTATAGTATTGGGCACACTTTGTGGTTCTGCTCACGTAGTTGCTCGTCCCAATTCCACAGCCATTCCACAAAAAATGTCTCGTGTCACCCACGCCTTGTAATCTGAGACATACCACACCTCCAAATTTTATTTCCCTTCAAAGCATCGAGTTGATGCGCAAAAGCCAGTATTTTCTCTGATTCATCCGTGCTCGCTCAAAACAGCGCTGTAACTTTTTGATTGCTGTGCTTCCTACCGTGGCGCAGCTCTCCTCTGAGTGACAGAGCTTTGTTGGGGAGCATTTGAAAAAAATAGCCCAGTCTCATCTGTATTAAGAATGTCTTTACGGGCGTATTTTTCTTCCACTGGTTCAAAACTCTCTTCCACTGCTCCAAAACATCTCAACGATGTCATATCTTTCCTTAAAGCACTGAAGCCAGCCACCACTGGCAACAAATTGTCATGGCCTATTATGCAGAGAAAATTCACTGCTTTTCTGTGCGAAATTTCGCCTCTTATCGTCATACTCACAGCTCTAGCATTTAAGAACCATTTGTAGAGAGCATCTTCGACTGGTTCGAGCGTCGCCGTTTGCAGCTTCTTGCGACTGCCTTTCACACCGTGGCTAATGGCATTTGTGATCACCTCACAGCTTCCAAGAATGGCAATGCGGAAGTTTTGGGCCACCTCGACTGGACAGTCTTTACAATGACTGCTTTTTGCCCTAAGGATGCCGTTTTTCGGTTGCACTTTCCGAAGCCTTCATCCATAGTGACGTGACAGTCAAACGTGACTGCAGTTAGCAAAGGTCTGTCGTCAAAAAGCACATTCGCGACTAACCACGATGACTGCAAAGCAGAGAACATGGCCTTGCGCGAACCAGTTCTTGAAAGAGAGAGAAATCATCTCACTCCACAGTGAGGATTTTAAGTCATGTGGCCCGCTCGAGAGCTTGCTCAATCCTCTCCGCTGGCTGGTAGAGAAGGATGGCTTTTTCGGCCATGCGTGGTGTGGCTGTAAAATCGACGTGGGAGTTTTGAAAGAGCCATATTCAAAGGCGAAGCCTGTAGTAGAAGAAAACGCA